GTCAGTGTAAAGTAACTCGATCTAAGCAAGGCCTTCACGAACTTTGAGATCCCGCTCTCGACAAGCTGCAACGCGGAACGGTTTCATCTTTATTTACGCTTGCTTTTTTCTATCTTAATAGGAAACGGTATGAACATAAAGTTGCTACATGTGGAAGCTCGTATGTACTTGCGTTCGTGCATAACCGAAGATGGCGCTGAATCTAACGGTAACAATTTGATCTGCATAAAGGAAAAAAGAAGCTTTATACTTACGCGGCCATACACGTGTCAGCAGGTACTTATACTCAGAGAAATTGACTTTAGCATGTCCAAAAAGCACGTGATCGTTAATGTCTCTAGGTGTGGATTAAAAAGTACTGTACAGCTGCAGTCATTTTAGTAAGAATACAAACTTATGTATCACCTGGACATTTCGTTAAATTGAAGTGGAATTTTTTATGTGCGTCTGGGCCCGGTATTCACCTGTGAATTATGATGATATTAATGTTTGTAGCGCATATCCTTATAGTTTTAAATATGTGCACCACGAACATTAACAATATCATAATTCCTGGGTAAATGCGGCTCAGATCTGTATATAAAACGTTGCATGAAGCCGAAGAAAACGTACTTCGCCAGTAGCCATGTGCGTAGCTGTCCTATATAGCATTTGAAGCGAGTCCTAGGATGTTTCCCGGGGATTCATATGCGTTTCCGTTCAGCGTTGTGAGCACGGGTCCTTTGGGCCAATGAATTTCGCTTCAGGTCGTGAATTTATAAGATCATTTCATCAAGGTAAAAGATCGCACGGCTCTGGGTGAATACAGCAACCCTGAAGAGATGCATGGGGCTGAGCCCAATGAGCGGCGTCCCTCCCGTTTCGCCTGTGACTATGGGTCTTTCAGGCTAGACGCGGAGTTGATAGCAGAACAACATGACATGATGTTTCTCTGGCAATCAGACAGGCTTACCCATATCGGTCCTGTTCAGCACACGATCTCGACCGGTTGACCTCCGATCTCGCAAAGAAGCAGGTCATAGAGAACATTACGTTGCGCAACGACATCATCGAGCTCTAACCCAGCTCGAGGGCTTCTTCAGTAATCCTGTTAAAGAAAAGACGGGAAGGTACGTTTGTCCTTTAAACTCTGCAGGCTCAACTCTACTACGGAGTGAGACGTATACCCGCTGGGTGCTCTACTGGGGAGCCGGGCAAGGGGCAGTACTGGCCCAAGTAAAAGGGTGCGTAAGCAAGTTGTCGCATACATTAGTTGCTGCTTGACTGACACCAAAATTGGGTTCTACTCTTAGTGACTCCGGGTGCTTGGCAAATGTGTCGGTTGTTAAGAAATTACGACCGTACTTATATAGGCAATAATACTTCAAGATCACTACTGACAGCATTGTTTTAATGGGCGTGCAAGCGAAAGACATGTTTGCCCGAAGTTACCGTGTTAACCTCTGTTCTTACAGGAATAGAACTTCGATGTCGCTCACAGGATCGGTTTCGTTACGCTTTGTCGCGTCTGATAGTGCCGTTGGTACAGAGCAACGCCCTCGAATTAGACAAGGTGAAGAACAATGACCTGTATACCATAATTGTAAGATTGGAAAACAGGGTTCATGACTTAGGGCAGGTGCTCAAACATTTCCTGGCTAGGTGGGTTCAAGGTACTGAACGCTGCTCCACGTTCGATCATTCTAGGTGAAAGCAGACATTACGCTATGTCATTTGGAGGTATGCCAAGGCATGTCGGCATCCGAAACACCCTGCAACTCTCTAAAGAACGCTTTCTTGTGGGGGCCATGTTTACGACGCGGGTCCGGGAAGTACCGGTTCGTGCCGGTTAGGGAAGCAACGTCGGGTGCTATAATCTGGAAGCTGGAAAATGCGCAGTGCTCCTTTGCAGGCTACGGTACCGTTCTGGCAGACAATGCCACGACTTATTTCACATCGCGGCGGCTGCGGATTACCTCAGGAGAAATCATATCGAACACATCAGCACGGCTGCTAGACGGCCCCATGAAATAAGCTAGCACATACTTTGAACGGTCGCAAAGATGCTAAGCTCCCTGATGGCGGAAGGACACAGCTCCAGAAGTTGTTGCTTCGGTTAACATTTTCCTTCAATGGATCCACAAGTGAGAGTTAGGAGATCACACGGTGCGAACTCTTTTTCAGCTAGCGAACCGTACGAACTGGAGAGTTTTTCGGTTACGGGGATGTCGTGAGGCAGGATGTAGCGCGATTCCGCTGTAAAGCCTAGCTCCGGAATCGACAACAATAGATGGAAACGCACTTCAAGCGAGGAGCTCTAGTCAAGTACAAAAAAGAATATCTTATGTGCCTATGGTCTTGAAACGCGGCCATGTTCCGTCAAGCAGTAACGGAAGCATTACATGTACGACATCTGTGTAATAAACGGTAGAGACAAATATATGCTGTATGTTACAAAGACTATATAAAGAATCAATGACATTGCTTTTTGAATAGAAAATGCCACCAGCAATAAAAAACAGTATCTTGTGTTACTTCTTAGTAACTAAAATCTGCATAGAAGCGTAATTCAAAACAGAAGCATTTAAGAGCTTGGACTCTTACCTGGAGATAATGATAGCCATCTCCAAAGAACCACCCGAGTTCCGAAGGGACTGGTCTACAGAAACGGCGCGCACAATTCTCATGACAAACATTTTGTACGCTGACGATTCGGCCAATTATCTGTCAAATAGGTTCACGTAGAGGAAACTCTAGATAGGACGCATTTAACAAATAGACGGCCAGGGCCAGCGGTGAATCCGGGGAAGATAGAAGCGATGAAGCTCAAAAGAAAAGATAAAATGGCGGCTAGGGAACTTTCATACACTCAGTAGCTAATCAGTTCGCTCTTTGGCGTATGTCAATCAGTTCGCGTAGTTAAGGCTGCTCTTCTCATTCAATGGGCACTTTCACTGCACGTAAATAGTAGGAAAGTGGAAAGCCTTAATGTCGGCAGGTATGGTCAAGAGTCTAAACCGCACTTTCCTCGCCAGCGCATCTTACCGCTTCATTATGAATATTGCACCTATGACGGCATACAGCATAAATTTCGTAAAGGGGAACATCATTATAGAAAATGTTGATCAATCGCACCGGTTTAAAGCCTCCTACCAGAAATGTATGCTAGGTTAGTATTTGCTTCATATATTTATTTGCAATTTATTTTCAGTACTCATCGAACCTTTGAACGATTTCGGGCACTGGTTGACACCTCTACTGAGAGTATCACAATCGGACCGACTGGAGGCTGAAATGGGCAGGGAATAATGGCGGGGTGAAAGAACCCACTGGCGAAACCGAACTAAACGAATAGTGCACTTATATATTTTCATAGTGAATTTAGAGGGAAGTGCAATAGGTACCAAACAGTGCTGCTGCTTGGTAACTTCATTAGAGAAATTTGTAAAATTAAATAATATTTATATAAGTTTTGCATGTTCAAATAATCTCTCTACTTTTGGACAGTACTTCTTTCATATGTGTATATAAGGTTTAGTTCAGGAATTATTCGGAACCAAATGCGCTGATCCGTTAAACAAAATGGCTTAGAGAATTTTCCACATTCTTTTGGTTGGCAATACAGGATAATCACTGAATGAACCTCAAAGACTTATTGAGGACTTAGTCCTAAATTTTTCACATTTTTCGTAAACAGACGACACGGTCAATGTCAACAATGCATGAGAAGATATCCTTTCCTCCCACTAATGTTGATCGCAAAAAACTTTTAACATTAAAAAAATGGACACGTTTGGTTTATATTTGCCACCCAAATGGGACGTCAAAACCCTATAATAGAACTCATTTTTGATAACACGTTCAATTTTAGGGTTGTAATTATTCTGTTCGGTTATAGTTATTCAATTTTCAGTTTTCTATTACGAAAACGCTCATAATGATGGCTCCCAATCGCTGCCTGTACGCCTAGAGTTTTTAATAAAAAAAAAAACTAGCCACTACTTTCAAAACAATTTGCTGTAATTCGCTTCATTAGCTATAAATAATCACGGTCTAGATAACGCTGCTAAGTATATAGTTGTTAACTGAAACATTATAGTATTCTAGCAGCCCTAGTTTTTCCCGCCTACATAAATGCCCACTTAGCTATAGTCATATTACGTTTACTACATTTACAAATAGTGTAAGGTCTTCGAAAAGCTTAAAATCAGTGGCTTAGATTAAATCAACTAGTTTGAAAAAAAGAAAAAATAATCTTCTAGATGGATAATCTAATTTTTTTTAAATGAATAAAGGCCCTCAAAAAGAATAGAGCAGTCAAATTGAGGCATATATGAACGTTTTATTTTGTCTGTTGATCGGCCAGGAGCCTCCGCCTGGCTTTTCTCTCTTTTATCTGAAAAATGTTCCTGAAAAAGACCGGTTAACATATATAACAACATCTCAAAGTATTTAACAAAGCAAATAGACATAAAAGCGTTCACATTTTTTACACGTTTGTCCAAGAGAAACTGCTACAAAATATCACAGATCTGCTTTTGATATGTAAAAGAAAAACTATATATGTATATATATATACATATATATACATATATAGATGTATAATATATATACATACAGGACTAAGGATTTCTGCGCAATTTACATGTATCATGTATATGATAGATGCGCTTGGAAATTACTAATATGAACAATTATATTTACAGCGAATGGGAAATAAGTTATATTTCGCATATTGTGTAATATGTACAGAGTAACACCAAACAATTTCATATATAACTATATACGAAAGACTTAAAATATATAGGTTAATAAATGACGTTTGTATTAATTTCACATTGATATAACCTATAGTATACGATGTTGGGATTTTATTATCTTTTGTACATCTTGTATGGAAATGTGTTGAGATATATATATATATATATATATATATATATGTAGTATGTATATATTCCTCCTAACTATATGTATTATTGAAACGTTGTTTATAACAAGAATTTTTACATTGTGTATTTTACACATACTAAACATTATAGAGTAGTCTCCATGCGGCAAATCTTTTTCGTTTCGGATTATTCACTATGATTAGCGTGTCGACAACAAAAGTAAAAACAAAAATAGCATTAGTTAATCAAGTATATAGAAACTAGCACTACGCATACAAATTCTTCTATGGGCCAGACCTGCGATTCACCATTACCGGAGAAATCACCACTCTTACCGTTAGATAACAGCCTCACACTCACATAAAGGAAAAAACACTAGTTGTTCGAAACGTTTAGAAAATAGAAAAAAACGTTTAGTTTTCACGCATTCGTAATAACAATAATAATAATAATCATCATCATAATTACGTTGTGTAGCTTTAGTATCTAAAAACGACAGTGGGAAGTAATAGCAATTTTCTACCAAAATAGAACATTGCACATGATTGCACGACACGGAGACTGACTCTTTACAGAATCATCAAATTGTCACGTTGTTTGATGAATTTAATGTTGTTCTGTTACCCCATGCCACCTGTAACGATTTTCTATTATTATTGTGGTGGTTCTACTATTATATTGGTGGCGTCGTCTTGTGCAGATTTCTTCGCCTAACCTTTATATTTCGTTACCAATAGCGTAAGAAATTTTCCATCAGTATCTCTTTGTTGTACCTCCTGTCCTAACAAAACCAGGTTAAAAAGACCCTTTTCTGCTTTCCCAAACGGCTAATTTTTCCCGTCTTAACGTAAGCTCATTCAACCCATCGTTATTAAACAGATCAGATTTATTTTTTCAATATTTTTTTAATAGTTTATGCAAATCTTACTATATTCATGCATAATGACCGTTCTTGGTATTGTTTAAGTTAGTGTTACAGTATTTTGCAAAACCAATCACGATCGAACCCAATTATTACTACAGACTGCGCCGTTAGTGTGCTTTATCCTCGTCGTTGTTCTGCATGCGTCAGCTTCAATGGCTGAAGTTCATTACCAAAGCAAACCCGGACCTCAATGATGACTTCACACGTGAATGGGTCACCGCTACACCCTTGATCTTTGGTGTCTCTTGCTTTGAATAAGTGCATACAAGTATATGTATTGGCAACAGAACGCCGATCACAAATGTAAAGATCGATGAAATGGGGTTTTTCGGATTAGAATGCCTTTTGTTTTCGCCTGAGTTAGTAAACTCGAATGGGAAAAAAATCCCGAATTTTAGAAAAAGTAACATCGAAATGAAACCACGCAACGGGTGTACGCAACGTACCCCAATGCCTGCTAATGGCGAAACTGACAAGCGAATTATTGTCTTTTCTCCTCAGGAACTGTTTGCAAACCCATACATTCTGATCAATTTGCAAGCCCAGCAAAACCCTCCGAGATTCTTCCCGAAACAAGACAGTCCAACGAACTCTACTTAAACCCACTATAATGCTGGATAACGTTAAATATTTACTCAACACAGAAGACTTTTTTCTGTTTGGCGCTACTAGTACCCCCGTGACTGCCTTCAGATCCACTGTTTCCGTTGCTTCCCGAGGATACTACTGCAAGGTTGATGTGAATCTTAAGTTTTGGATCGAGAGTCGCTCGATTGCGAACTTCAAACTTGACCTTTGATGATGAAGCTGATGACGAGATGATATCTGTTGTCGATGAGCCCAACAGAGACGAGGTAGCAGATGATAATCCAGAACTAGACGTCCCTCGATGTGGTGATGAGGATGGTGCACTAATATTACCGAGAAAATATCATTAGGCTAAAGACGAAAACGATATTAACAAAAAAAGGATTGGTCTGAATAAGAGCAGCGGACCTAGTTCAACATAACACTTACTTTTAATACAAACGGTCATTTGTAATTTCATTAGAATCTCAGCGTATGTGTGACAACTCGAGAACAGCACATTCGAAAAGGCAGCAAACTACAACGCACCAATACAAATATAGGTGATGTTTAAGGTAGTGTCCAGTCTAACCTGTTTAAGTGACCAATACGCTCTTTAACGCTACCAAACGCGCAGTTAGAAGCATTTATTGTGCGAGTTGCCGTCGAGGGTGGCCCCAGCCGGGAGAGGATCGATCGTTGCGCTGAAATAGCATTCGAATAGAACCTTTGAGGTTAAGTGTATTCAAAGGCATCTTCCAAAATGACGACATAATTAAGATCGAAGAAAAATTAATATAGTCAGTATAAGAAACTACAATCGATAAAAACTGAGGTTTTGAAAATGGGCATGTGCGGTCTATTTAAATCAAAGGTAAGAACAAATTTTCTACAAACGAGACCACACTGCATATTTTCGGAAGAAATTAATCGATGCTAAACTAAAGATTGAGTGAAAATTTCTCGAAGTTTAACTTCTGCAATGAAAAAAGCTAAAATTTCATTAATCTTGCGGCAAACTAAAAATCTTTGTTTCAACTTGCTTGCTAAAGGGTTTAAATTTACTAAATGATGACTGGTGACTCACTAGTAAACAAATTTCAAGAAGAAGATATTTCCATGTAAAAAAAACGTGATAATATGCTGAACCTTTTACATGCACAAGCTCTGTTTATTGACTATTAAGAGATTGTTTAGAACCTTACGCCTGTATCTGCTGTGGAAAGCAACAGAGATGCCAGTCACAACCGCACGATAGTTTAAAATAGTGGTTACAGCTGAGCTGCACAAACGCTACTGTAACTAATGAAGAATTGAAATTCGAACTAAGACGATATGTAGACGCTCAAAAAATACCATTTTAAACTACCTCCAAGTCCACTTACCAACGACGTCCACTTCGGCGCCATTGGGCTTCTCCCCGCGAGAATTTGTTCGCACTTTTGTACTTCGCACCTCTTTTGCACCCAGTCTTTCTTGGATTCCTCCTTTTCTGGCGCTGCTACTCGAAACGGCAGTATGTTCCCGAGAACGACTTTCTTCCAAGGAATCATTGTCATTGTTGGCGCCATCACTTCCATCCTTCTTTAATGAAATAACCTTTTTTGATGGTTTAATTTCCTGCGAAATAACGAACATTGACACGAATTAGCCGGCAAAATAATGTAACGCATAGCGAAAACGAATGATTTGGGTTAGACAATTCAAAAAACCTAACTAATCGTGACGAATACATATATGAAATGCGTATCCTCATATATAGAACTACGTAATAAATTTCGTTAATTAAGTTTACAAAGCTTTAATAGAAATAACTCTTTTTTGTTAAAGAATTGTTAAAGAATATTACCCAACGGACAAGAGTATGATGTACTTACGGTTTGCTCAAACTTCCGCTTTCGAGCCTCAAATCTTTGGCGTTGCTCGGAAGAAACATCCTCCACAACCGTAAAGGTTCTTCGGTTGTCCTCGACTTCTCGAGGTGCTGGTACTTCCTCCTTGACTTTGCTGGGCTTCGCAGCCTTTTTTGCAGCTGGCTCCTTGCTTTTTTCTTTGTGCCGTCTGCTTTCCCTTTCCTTTTCGGTTCTTTTTTCAGCTTTTGCTGCTTTCATTTCTTTTTCACGGCGATCCCTGTTTTCTTTTCGTTCTCGACGGTCGCGTTCTGGTCGATCTCTAGCATTCTGGTCGCGTTGTGGTGGGTTCGGTCTTCGATTTTCTCGTCTGACAGCTCTGTCGTCTCGCCGACGCTCTTCTCGCTCCTTAAGAGAAGTTCGTTTTTGCTCCTTGAGTGGTTTTTTCTCTCTTACTGATGCAGACCTTGATGCTTGTTTCGCAACAATCGTCTCTTCTTCTTCAAGGCCCAGGAGATCATCCATGTCATCATCTGCTTGCAGTAAAAGGCAGTCTTCATCAGGTTCTTCATTTCCTTTGTTCTCCTTGACATCGTCCGCAGAGACCTCCGCTGGCTCGTTAATATTCTCCTTTTCTTTGGTATCAGCTTCGGTACTGTTGCCAGCGGGGTTTTGGTTGTCTACGTCGTCGTTGAGGATTTCGTCAAGCAGAGATTCATTGCAACTATCTTCGTCGCTTTCATTTTCCTGCTTATTATCCTGAAATCGCGCAAGCCGATCTCTTTTTTCAACTGACTCCGACCGATTTCGAAGAGATGCCGGTCTCTGCGTGTGGTCAGACAGACGCTTGGGTTCTACGAGATGATTTCTATATACAGGGGATCTAGATCGCTTTCGAGGAGGAGAAATTCGCCTTGCGTTGTTTCTCCTGGACGCGTCTCCATTAGCAGCCTTTCTAGGTGAAGACCTGCGAACCGGTGATCTTCTTGGAGGGGTCCTCAGCAACGGCGATCTTCTCACTGGAGAGCGCCGGACGGAGCTCTTGCGACGTAATGGGCTTCGTCTTCTAGGTGATACAGATAACCTGCGAGGTGAAGGACTCCTAGAACTCCTACGTGGAGATCTTCGTAACGGCAGTGGGCTGCGGTAGCGATTACGTGGAGACCTAGATCGAGTTCGAGTCCGTGAGCGAAATCGAGGACTTCTATCACGTGGTGTTGCTGATCGCCTTGGTGAGTATCGCCGGGGTGAACGAGAAAACGGCGGCGAAGGCGATCGTCTGCGCGGGGAAAGGGACCGTTCCCTTGTCACCGGTGATTTTCGCCGTACCCTAGGTGAAGGAGACCGTGTGATTCTGATTGAAGGTTCAAGCCGAGGAAGAAACTCGTCGGCGGGCTGAATAACAAGAACATTATTCCTCTGCACAATCCTGTTCCGAGGAACCTCCTTCAGTCGTTTTGCTTCAAGTGCGGCTAAAGCAGCAACCCGAAGCATTTCCAAGTCGTCGTCTTCCTCCACCATTGTTACAGCAGCCTGAAATACAAAAATGATCATCGTCAGTTCGCAATTATTTTGTATATTGATTGTAATTATAGTTTATGTATACAGTTCCGGATTTCTCTTCATGATAAATCGCACATATTGATGATTTAATACGAAATAACGAAATTAACGTTTCCATTCTATTTTAATTAGTATTGCAACACGAACCGAGCTTTTCCAATTTACTGGGTATGTCTAATAACGTGATACGAAAAGTTACGTAAATAACCCATTAGTAAGGTACACTTAAAATTACTTTTGAGTGAAGCTGAAAGATTTTTATCTTTTAGTGACACGTAATAATCTATCTAAAAAACCTACGAATTCGGGTAACTAGTTCTTCAAATAAATCAAGTTTCTCAACATTATTTGGGCTACTACCACATCATTATGAAGCCTCTATACACTATGAAGTGATTAAATTAGTATTATATCTTTGGCAGTGTATATCTCTGGCAACTCTTCGTAAAAGATGCAAAAAACCTGTTCTGTAGGCCATATATAAAACTAATGCCGAAAAATTTCATAAAACAGTTTTCGCTATCGTATCAGCATGTTCCGTCCAATCATTGAAAAAATAAAATTGTAATAGCAAGAATACCTACATCAACTTAATATGAGCTCAATTTTGACTTTCTTAGCAGAACCTTTTCGGTCACAGCCAACAAATCTCAATTAGCGTATCTTTTTAAACAACTGATCAGCGACATGCGATACAGCTGAACGCATAACAATCCACATGCAATGGTATTTGCGAACAGGCTATCGAGATCTATCCTTTTCTACGTTCATCCTCGACCACAAAAAATCAATGAACAACCTAGTGAACAATTGCTATAGCCCATATATTCCTCATATTAGGTAACTTGCTTAGAAGCTTGCTTAATTGCTTAAGTAATAACTGTACTGCGGTGTAAAGGTTTCGACCGCAAACGTGTCGAAGCAACATTGGCTGATCCGTCATTGGTCACTCATGTATCTATACGTTCGCCTCTGACCATGTTATTTATGCTGAGCAGCAAGAAAATGATCACTTTTTCAGCTAAGTTAGCAGCGTATATCCAACAGATTATAGCACTGGAAGAGCTCGACAAAGCAACACGTCAATGGTTCAACGAAACAAGACGCAGATAAAATAATCCATAAGTTTAAGGGCAAACCCTCGAATTACCAAACTCTAGAATCTACTGCGCGTCCCCAACCTGACACACAATGATACACTGTTGTTAGCCTTTAGGCCGTTGACCGTATCTTTGTGGTCGAACCTATCTTAAAGTAGTAAATAACATACGTAAGATGATTTAGCTACCCACAATAGGAAATGACTTTGCTCATTAGTAGACTCGGTCGCTCCTATTAAACAGTTTGTCAACGGTCTCACTGTTGATATGAGCATATGAATCAATATAGACAACACAGAGCTAACTTGCTGTTACTAACAAAGCGACAATATGGTATCCACTGGTAGTACACACGCACTCAACACGACCAAAATAGCGAACACTACAGCCGAACTTTAGGAAATGTTCTACAAACAGCTTGGAGCATTTAAGAAGATGTTAGTCTCGTTAGGCATCCCAATAATCTCAACTTACCGCACCACCGCTGCTGTGCTGCAATCCAGCCATCTTAAGAGTGCGCTACAGTGGACGATCGGCTGCGACTAACACATACACACTCACACATATTGCAAGTGATGGTCTGTATTCTTCCGCTGGCGACCGCTTCACAAAGGCAACCGATTTCGTCTCAATAGATATTTCTGTACTAACGTAGCTTTCATTCTGAAGGTTGATGTTATTGATTAATCGAGATGCGCCCACTGTAAATGGGGTGGTACTTCAACACCAAAATTTTTGTTTCCACGTAAGACCATCTTTAATCTCTAACTAGTTGACGGTGCGTTAACCTTACTTAAATGTCGGAAGATTTTTTCGGATGTTGGAACAATCCGACATCTAACCCATCATAACCAAAGAGAGGAAGTTTTATAGCGGCCAATCTTATTGAATACAATTTTGTTTTATGTTTGCTCATGATCTCTCAGACTGCTGATATGTGATCAGCTGTTCTTGTGGCTGTACATCCGCGGAGCTTCGGTAGACACGTCAGAGGCTCGTATTTGTGAACTCGACGAGTGCACAGCAATCGTATTGCGCATCATTTGCGGCGGCTAGAGAGGTCACGAGGGTGTATTGCATCTGCCGTGTGCCTGTGTGTTCGTCCAATAACAAACCGAAAACGCCGCGAGCCGTAAGGTCAATAAAATGTGATGTGATTTATTTTATAGTCCGTTTGTCGCAGCAGCTGTTTTACGGCTCCGTCACGGACGGCGTGCCCTCTCAAGGTAATTGCGCGCGAAAACTCAATTCACATATGTTTTCCATTACCGACGAAGCTAGCCTAGAGGGCGGAGAGTACAACACGAGTTTCCCATGCTTCAAGTTTTCGGTCAGGGTGGGGTGTATCAACGCTAGTTAATTTTATTTACTTTAGTGATTAGAAACCAGCCAAAAAAAACCTAGTTGTAGCAAAACTGGATTGGTCTATTAGCACACGCTGCAACGGTTCAAAACTATGCTGCTGATTTTTCGCTTATTTTGGCATGCTTTTGTATCACACAGCGGGAAGAATGTTTTTTTTTTTGTTTTTGATGGATACATATAGCTTTACGGGCAGGCCATTTTGTTTATTCTGGTTTCGACGATCTAAATCGTCGCCTTAGATAAAAACTAATTTTCAAGCTCTCTCATGAGTCCTATATAATTTAAGTCATTCATTCATAATCGTTTTTGACTTATACATAGATCTTAGCCTGGGCACATTTGCCACAGTGTATTAATCAAAATAGTGAAAGGAATTAAATATATACCCTAGATAGGTAATAATAGATAGATAATGATTGACACTGCAGGCTGAAACGTTAACACTCCATTATCGTCGAGCCGAAAAACATTTTAGAAATCTCGAAAAACATTTTCTGGCGGTAGCATTTTTCAAGTGAGTGAAATGAATTGGTTTATCTTTCTTTCTGTATTTCAGAGGATAAAGTCTGTGTGTTTGCAAGGGGCGTGATATAGTAGGGCCTAATATACCTGTGTTATTATGACTGGAACTAATATATTAACAAAATAATTGAACCGTGGTCTTATTAGTAGACAAAAGTAGGTGAAAAGATGACATATTGCCAGGAAAAATCTGTGCATCTATACGAGGAGACTGCTTTGATAGAAACTGCGTGTATTTATTAACACTTTTATGTTTTAATTATTTTTGGCTGAAAGTTCGCTGAACCGCTGTTGCAGATGTTTATATATATTTTCAGAGCGTTCACTATGATTATTATTATTCTTATATTGCCAATGGCACTCCACCTCGATTCTACAGAGCCCTCAGAGAGTTCGTTCCCTTTAAGAAAATTGCACTGCCGTCGCCTATGCAAATAGCTTACTGGCAACAGAACTCTGCCTTACAGTTGAGCTGTGTTAAACGACCGCGCCATTGAGACTCACACTTGACTACACTTAGTGTGTGGACAAAAGGGTATCATGATGCTGCCAGGTACCAGCCAAAGTTATTCGACAGGGGTTCTTGATTTATTACTGACTAACAATGATACGACGCTGAGTGTCGATTGGTTTCATCCAGACAACCACTTGCGCGAGCTTTCAAAGGGCAGTCGCTATGCCAGCGTGTTAGGACACGGTCACAGTTATTCTAAGTCTTTTAGAAAGCGATTGGTAAATCCTATACTCCATACTGTATGGTGTATATATATGTATATGGTAATACGTTTAAACTGGGGAAAATTTTGCCAGCTGTTTGATGTAACATGCATGCATTAATTTGCTACTTATGGTATTAAAGGAACCCGGTTTTCAAAATTTGAAGAAAACTTATGTGAGACAAATCAGAAATTCCTCAATATAGTTTAAATTAGAAAGTTCGAAAATAAACTAAAATGGCTCAAAAAACTATCTTTGGGACATTTAAGTTTTCGCTACAGAAACTCACAGTCGTTTTAGAGAGGAGAATACCAACTGCCAATCGGGTCACTTATATAAACTCCACGGTTAATCATTTTGGAATTTTTCGAGACTTTTTTCTGCGTATTTGGACTTACTGCCGTTTCGAGATCTTGCATTTTTGAAATAGTTGGCTTGCTACAGCCTAAAATTTAATTTTGTTGGATCTTTTTATATAGCTTATTTGAGCGGCACCCTAACAGGTTTACACTTAAGAATACCCTTTACGCACGGTTATTATTGAAAATTTACGGATTAACGAAATATATTAGAAATGGCGAATGACTTGCACACCGAACACAAGCTCTAATCGAGGTCGATGGTGGTTTTACTAAAAAAAATAACATAGCATAGTACAGGCACAACATTTTGTTGAAATATATGTTAATGTTCAGATACAGTTTTAGAAACAAAGCTTAAAACAAGTTCTTTATTTAGACACGCCTCCCGATATATATGTACATATATATATATATATATAAGCTATGCCTTTCTCAGAAATTCAGTGTGTTGCGTACCCTACAAAATTACGATTCTCCGATGTCTTTATGTGGATTTTAAGTATAAAGTATATCTGCAAGCCCCCGTTTTATCTTCGTGTGCATTATTATCGTAATAAATTCAGTTTAGATGTGGATACCGCAAAACGCTTGCACTGCGCTGTCGGCTATATTCGCTAATATTTAAAACTTCGGGTGAAACATATGTTTGAAGGTGGGGATTTACGACTCTTCGTCCGGGTGGCGTAAGTAACGATTCATCCAATTATACAGGCGCTACAGCAGGCCTACAAATATAGGGTTCCAATAATAACCTGTTACAATAGAGTAGGCTTCAATAACCGTCCTCAAGACGAAGAACAAGATCTGCTAGAAGAACAGGATAGAACTTGTGGATTGAGCTGGTTTCATGTCAAATTGTTTTTGTAATTTTAAAATTCAGCGTTCAATTTTGATACTGCTTTTTGTATTGTGTAATGTATTAAGGGCTCTAAGCATTATTTTATGCAAGCTGGGCACGAAAAAACACTGTAAAAAATGTAAACCATAAAACCCTCACACAAACAGAATAGCATCGTGCCACAATGTTGTAGCTAATGCTTTTTCCTTGTATGAACCATATGAGGTTGCCAGTCATAATTCAAAGGTTATAGAATGGTATCAGAAAATGTTGGCTTAAGGGAACAGGCATGCCACGTCAACGCTAGTAATCGCGTTATCATCGAAAAAAATTCTTTAGAGGGGACGGTTTCGCTTATATGTCATCAACTGAAGCGGCTCAATGGGAAAAATCACAAGAGTTCTCAGCGCAATTTCGATGTTGATAATTTCGGCCTTTTATAATTTTTTTTCTTTCAAACATAGTAAGATGCATAACACGTATAGATAAGGTCAACTCAAATGTGCTTCACATACATCCTAAGCGCGTAAATATGTTCACTGCTCGTCTCAATTCTACTGTATCCTCTATTGTTTTCTAATGACACGATATGCGATAGATATCTCAACCTACAAAGAAGGTCTGCTTATGCACATATCGTAACTACAAAATGACTAATCTGCTGGCTAAGATGTCTTATCAAGGCATAAATATTGGCATAAGAATCTCAACAGCTATCTGTATCTTTCGTTTTATAGTAAAATGCCAAGGAACGCTTTCATTTCCCTAGCTAATTTTATTTCGATAAAAGATAATATGTAATAATAAAGATTTGCCTTCTTTTCGTTTGCTTCGTATTTCAGATAGACGCGCTGACTTGATAAGCTCAGCTTTGAGCTGAGCTTCTAGCTAGTTCAACCCTTGCTTCTTCAAGGTCTTACGAAAACTAGGTCGCTTGACGATCGTCAAATTATTGAAGCACCTATAGCAATATCCTATTAATTACATCAAATCAAAGAGATGGCTGCCATAGCGGAATTGTCTAAGTTCTTTCACAAGGAAAAGACATTCAAGCCGAAGAAGAAGTTTGTGCCTGGAACACTGAAGCATTCGCTGCACAAGCAGGTGGTTTTATTGCATTGAGTAAGACAGGAATAGAGATTTCACTCTTACATTGTAACCAATTAGTAATCGACTTCCATACAGTTTTTGCTCAAAGATAAGGTCAATATTATGCCATAATTCACGTGCATATCAATTATAATTATTGAGGTATTAACGCGTGAACTAATAACTCGAGACCTTGGTAATATTAGCATAGCATAAAATGTTACGTGTCTGTGTTTTGAATGTTCACACCTTTCTCCTCGTCTAATAATAGGTGATTTACATTGAAGTCGGTAAAATCGTTAACATGATCACAATTTTGCCACTTGATATGTGATACGTTTATTTATATCTTTAATAGGTTGAACACACACCTTTTCTTACTGTATAATGCTATATAATCTAGATTACTCCGTTAAAATGTGCGTATTCTACTCTTTAGGTAAACCTAAATTGTCTCATATAAATATTTATAAATAATGTCTTCCAGGTTCATTGTAAGTATTACAAGCAGCGTAGTTCTATAAATCATTCGAATTGACATCTAATTTTTTAGAAGAAGTGAGGACACGCAGTTTGCTTGGTGTGCCCATAGGTGTGTGTAGCATTCGTTTTTATCCAGGATAGTCTTTTCATAATTTGTTTCGTCCTTTTGCTGAACTTTATACAATAGGCACAGGCATCGCTAAACTCCGGCCTGAATCTCCGCGAAGCAGTTCGTTTGCCAGCAGGTGATTCATACCACGACTGGCTGGCAGTTCATGTAGTTGACTTTTTTAACCGAATCAACCTCATTTATGGGACAGTGACAGATTTCTGTACGGAAACCAGTTGTCCGACCATGAGTGGAGGTTTGTATGACCATGATATATCGCTTAGTGTGAAAAATATTTTTTTGAACGACGAGCGTTAAATTATACTTAAATATATATTGTGTTTATTTTAATAGGCCTAGCAAATAAACAAATTGTTGAAGTTTGCGATATTAACATATTAGCAGATCATTAATTTGCATATAACAGGACATCTGCTCTGTATAAATGTATAATTTTTATCATTTTGAGGCTGTGTCCTTTGTTAGCAGAAATGCATTCATTTATTCACTTAATCAAAATTTGAAGCTAATTGTATCTCAAATATAATAGATAGTACTTTGGTGTACACTTATCATTATTACACTTAGTATAAAACTAAGTGTAATAATGATAAGCGTATTGTTTACTTAATACTTATAACAAAAAATCATTGGTAATGGGACTAAAGTGTGCACGTAGATTTTTTTCAGTCCATATTTCGCATGCATACACTGAATATTTATTTTCATTTTCAATGTGATTGATTGTATGGCAAAATATCTGTATGAGTCGATCGGTCGATTAGAAATGTGCGTAGTGTGTTTACGTTTAGTTTGTTGTTTGTGCAGCCCATGTAAAGTTCTGGATATGGGGCTATGAACTCCTATTGCAATACACAAGATACACGGATTTGATATACATACATTCCCATTTTGGTTAGCCTATAAGTTGAAACCTGTTGATTTTGCTGTTTGTTCATTATGTGTTTCAATGTTCATTTTAGGTGCACGGTTCGAGTATCTGTGGTGCGATAAGGATCGCTACAAGAAGCCACAGGCTTTACCAGCACGTCAGTATATCTCCCTGCTAATGGACTGGATTGAATCGCAGATTAACAACGAGGAGCTGTTTCCGACTTCGGCGGACACCCCATTTCCAAAGAGCTTCGAGAAGACGTGCAAGAAAATCCTAACTCGACTGTTTCGCGTGTTTGTTCATGTTTATATTCACCATTTTGACAAGATCGTCGCCATTGGCGCCGAGGCACATGTCAACACGTGCTACAAACATTTCTACTACTTCACCGATGAATTCCATCTGATCAGCGAAAAAGAGCTTGAACCGCTTCGAGAAATGACCGAAAAGATCTGTCACTCGTAGTAATTCAAATTAGGTGGTCGGCAGCTGAGCTATGAAAGATAAAGCTAAAGCTAGACAAATATCCATCAAAAAAGAGACTTGTAAATCAAAGACAATAGGGTGAAGGACAGAAAAACCTAGCTGGAGTGATCGCTAATTTATGAATGTAAGTGTGTGTATGTGTGTTTGTGCGTGTCTGTACGGCTTTATAAGTGTTCCAGTTCGTTCCTGGGTGTGTTTAAGTCTGTGGACATGAGGCCTTGAGGTATCGTAGCAGATTCTGAGGTAACGTCATAATTAAGCTGAGCGATAACAAGGAGGATAAGAAGTAAACTTGATGCTATCTTGAAGACGGGTGATTCGAGGCCGAAAGAGGTAGAGACGAACGAATAGCATACGTGTTCATAATGTGTGCGATACAAGTGTAGGCAGTACCAGAGTTTTTATGTGTTCGACACTGCGTTTTGTGATCCAGCTAGATCTCTTTAGGTTGGACTTTGCTGACTGTATGATTACTCTAGGCTTGGCACACCCAGCAAGCGATATTCGCTTGAGCCGGGGTGTGAAAAAAATAAGTGCAAAATTCTACTAATGTATAAATAATGATACCTTTGCTTCTTAAGTATTTGGCCATAGTTAGCTTTTTTTGTAATATTGAACGCTTAGTGAGCTTACAAGCCACTATTTCTGACTGTCAGCTCAGTCGACTATTATTCTTGTTCAAATCTTCGTACATTTTTAGATGCCTACGGCAAAACAATGCCGTTTAGTACTTGCTTTTACTTTGTTCTGTTTTATTATTTTATCACTTATTTGAGAACAGACAAACGCAGTATCAACTATTGGTGGTATTGCTAGGCAATACATATATGTATATGAAGTTCGTTAGATATACAGAAAGGCTGGTCTAGCTTATGTTGATGTTACCAGGTCAATTCCTTGTTCGCCATCGCACATGATGTTACTACGACTATAAAATTTCTTTGACAATCGCATTTGTGTAGTATGCATATCCTTACTACATAACATGTAGTAAAGCAGCAAAATTATTCGAGCCAGAACAACAATTAAATATATCTATTCAAATGGGTGGCCATAATTATGAGCAGTGAAAAGCATAGATGTCCGAAAAATTAAGTGCTGAAGCTCGTTTGCTGGGTACGTTCGAGCTGCTTTGTGGTTAAGTGATGCTGCACAATTTATTCAAAAGCAAAAATCTTATTTGGATTGATTCGATAGCCGATCTTCAGACTGCTTCAGTACTTAATTGCGATCTAGTTTAAGAATTACAGCACATGCAGATCAACTGTGCGTATCTTGAGGGAGATAGAACGAAAGGGCGAGGGAATGTCGTATAACTCAATTGCATACCGGTGTACAGTATTGTGCTTGGTCAAGCTCAGTAAAATTACCCCTTTCTTGCCTCGTTACTAATTTCACAGAAAAATAATAATCGAATGGCAAAATCTGGTGATACTAGCGGATACCTGAAACAGCGTGTGAGATCGGGTCATTTCATTGCTGACAAGCAATGGAGAACCGCCTAAATGCTCTGAAAAGAATAATGTATTATTTTATCTAAATAATCAACAGTTTAATAAGGAAACCTTGCGGCAAGAACTCAAGGTTTTTAAGACATTGCGGGTAGAGCGATATGTAATAAATAAAAAAATACATATAATATTTGAGTTACTAGAAATCAAATAATCTTTGTGCGGTGGTACGATATCAGTCGGAACGAGTTGCACACATTCACGCGACATGTAAACGAGTTCTAGCAAATACAATTACACATTACCCATTACCCAAGTGATAATATTCAATTAACATTGCTCGATAATTTTTTTTTCATTTAGTCACACATAGTGTGATATATACCTACAGGGAGATGCCGGTATCTGCACCAGCAAAAAGATAACCACCAACTGTGCGAAGGAGATCCACTAAATATGATTTAATTAAAAAAAAACTCTCTAAACATAAAGGATGGTAATGTATTCAAGCAAGATTACCTATGTTTGTAACTGCTCTATGAGCAGTTGTGCTTTGCAAGGTGAGACAAGGTATCCCGAATTTCGAAATGCGGCAGCATTTCATGCAGTTATCTATTTAATGTGTGGCTTTATATGTTTTTAGTGTGATTAAATACTTTTGGGCAATGCTAGCTTTAGCTATTTGTCCACGAAAAGCCATTATTCAGTCTCTACATTATTCGAATGGTCGTACTGTTTTGACTTGATTGTTGCCGTATTTATTACTCCGTCTGGTCTCACTAGGTTTTGCAAGGAGCCCGAATGCGTAAATTGTATGCATTCTCGCGTGAAACGATATTCATAATTTCGTTCACTGTTTAGTGATACGTAGTACATAGAATGCTAGTTGATGTTTTCTAGCATCAACAAAGTGTAGATGGTTACCAACTTGAAGTATTTATTTGTCGCCAATTTAGTATATCCCTGCACTTTTCAGCTGACGAACCCGTAAATGAAGGCTGCAGGAAAACGAACCTGTTGTATATCTAGCCGAAAACGTTAGGTAGAGTTTAGCTTGAGATCACATATTTATCAATGATAACGTAATTTGCTCGCCCATCTAGTACCGATGTGGTGACCAAATCCAGCACGTATCATTCCTATTTAAGGAAAAAATGACGCACCGTTTAGGGGACCGGCGAGGTCTATCAGATCGTAAGCATGGTATATCATAGCCAATAATCAGCCGAAAGACAGAAGAAGCAGGTATCAGTTCAGTGTTGATTTACAAGGGTCAAGGCCACCCTGCTCAGCTTGTGTTTTTTCTGCCAAGGCTGTCACTCGAGGGGAAAATTGCTGGGCATTGAAAAAAGAGATATATCAATAAAACAGTCCTGATAAAAAAAAACTACAAGCTGTTGTCTTCGTTGTAGTATAAGTAGGTGCATGTACGTACTTTGTACGAACGGCTGCATAAATGCTTTATTCTCGGCAGTTCGTATTAGCTAATCAGAAAGTAATTTGGCTGTATTTGAATTTTATTATCGGTACATTTTATATACCCATTTCGCTTAGCAAAACCTTTCTCTGGACGGCTCTAAATTAACTGCACTCCAGCTTAAGTAAGCTGACCTAATTGCCGCATATCTCACTTTCTTCTATATTCCCTCACTGGAAAAACGCTAATTTCTGATGGATGACATACGATTCCCTTCGGCGGTCCTCTATGCAAGGGAAATGATTAATTTCCCAAAAATTTTATATATGAGCACCTCAGATGATTTAATGAGATCAGAGAAGGCGGACTTTACTAAAAATTTTTTAAACGCAATGGGAAGGTAAAGACAGGCTTTCATTCCTCTCAAGCTGCCCAGCTGAATCTAGCAATTAATGCTCCTTTCGTATACCTACTTTATTCGCCGAAAAAACCGTCTATTAGCCGACCGATAGAAGAATAGCATGGGAACCCTATCAAATAATTTAAAGTAAAGCAAAAAGTTAGCAGTGTAATACTTTATACCGACGTATTATTTGAATTTTTCTATGCCACTGAAATAATTTTCATTTTAAATATGGAAATACATTAGAATACACGCGATAGAACAATTAATGTAAAAATCATGCCTACGGCACCGTAATATAAGTACTAAAGTGCCCTACTTTACGACAATATTATTACATTTTAAATCAAATTTCAATACAAGCTGTGTATTATTTATTATATTTAAACCGTAGGCGTAACTATGCAACACGGTTATATGAAATATCTAGATATATTAGCTCATGTTGTGTCGTTGTATAAAAAATACATGGTCTTCTGGTGGGGGCATGTCTTGGAGGCAAATTAGACCTCTATTCACCCATATACCTTTCGTTTTGTCCTAGAATTAAAGATACTGGGGTTTCTCGCAATTACCGCTTACCTAGTATATGTTTACACGAATTGAAGATAAATATAATTGATAGTTTTTTGTGTTTGACTATTATACATTTTTTGTATTATATATATTGTGTTTGTATTGCATATATTATGTCAACGCTTTTTGCTGAACTCACTAACTTTTCCTTCAATCATGATAATAATGGTATATTTTATTTAAGGATTTATTTTAATGGCGCACGGATGCGAAAGATAATTTTGAAACTTTCACATACTGTTTGGTGACTACCCGCGCAGCACACAAGAGGATTCCTATAAGAATAAATCGTCTACACACCATTTTTTTGACTATGTTGCTAATTTGAATATTTCACACCAGTACTATTGCCAGATTTAGTAGTTGTCTCAATTGTGTTGAACATTGATGTTTTCAGACTCGGTGGGTGGTTTCTGATACATTCAAACGTTCATTTGTTAACGGCTTTGAAGCTATCGCAAATTGACAAATTCCTAGGTGCTTCCCTTACATTGACATTTAAAGAAAGCGTGTCTTGTGTACGCATTTCCAACTTCCTAAAGGGTTGTAGACCTGAGTGCCACAAAGATGCTGCATATGCCATGAATATCCAGGATCTTAAATAGCTTGACATACAAAATATGGTCTTTTAAAACCAATGATCATACTGTCCTATTAAAGCGGAGTGTTAATCGTGTTAAAGTAATTAAATAGTACCCTGTGTATTTTAGATTAGCTGTTATAGTGATTGCTCGATAATGGATACCTCCCACCGTTTAGGAATTGAGTTCGTCAATAGAATGTGCGTGATTGATAAATCCGTGTTAAAAGCGTAGAATAACGTGTTTTTCGAAGTTTTAAGTCTGATCTCTTGCTTCACACTTAAAGCTCGTCTAGGATATCACGCGACAACAAGTTGCCATCGTATTTGTCGACTCTCGTATATGTTTACATCATCTGCGTACATTGAATGAATGTAGTATATAATATAGGACGTGCATAAATAAAGAAGTAAAAAAAAATTATGTACGTATATATATATATATTAGTTTCTCGAAAACGTATTGCCAAGTTTTAAACCATATATTAAAATCATATTACTAAATTAAATAAGTGTCATTTTGGTCGATGATCTTCTGGCTTCTTTTGTGACGATAGAAACCCGAATCAGTTGTTTTGCCGGACGGCAGCAACTCAGTGCGCGAGCCCTTTCCAATCCCAATAAACAGATAGCATAACATTCCTTGGCGTCAGTCTTAGCTCTGCCACAGATTGTAAAGCGCGCTTTTTCATATTTATACATTGTCGTATGTGACCGACTTTTATTATCCATGGTCAACAATTTTAGAAACGAATGGATTTTGCTGCATTTTTGTAAACTCTCGCAGATGGAAATGCATCAAGTAAATTGTTTTGCGTCAATTTGTGTGGCACCTAGACATCAAGCTTTTCATACAGCCAGCCTGACTACAGATCAACCTGAATGAGAATCTAAAATACTCCGGTAGTTAAATGTAAGTGCTTATTGAGAACTTCCTTATTCGAATAATACGTATAATACCTGAGTAACTAGGAGGGCTCAAAGCAAAGACCCCCGTATCTTTCGACCGTTCAAACCGCTGCGTTCACAAAGCCAACAGCTCAATAAGTCCGTTTTTCCCATCTTGCAAACACAGAATTATTATTTATATGTAGCTAAAATCTTCGATCAGATAGCGCCGTTTTATAGAATTGAAGACTGTCGTCCCCTGGACATAGCTCATACTATTTAGAAATGCAGTAGCCTGGTCAATTTTAACTGAACTCATCTTTTTTTTTTAATTTAAAGTCTAACTGATTCAAATTAACATAAACAAGAACAACTCTCTTTATTCGCACAGGCTATGCAGTATATGTCCTTTTTAATTTAATATACGTATGGATACAGAAATATTTAATATGAATTATTTTGTCTGAAAACTCAGTCCGGGAACTGTATCGTGAAATTCACAAGCAGGTGGTGCGAATCAATTTAAGATAAATTCCAGCTAATTATCAACTGAATATATTCATATATGATGACTGACAACGCTTGTATATTTTGAAACTGCTATGTGAGTTATTTGTGTAATTACCTAACAAAAATAACAGACAATTATGAAATTATGATTGGTAAAGTGGATCACTGCTTAGTTTTAGCATTCCTTTATTCCTTCGCATGAGGATTAGTTTGTAGCTGGCGAACACTTACCAGTTCTGTCAGTTGGCTTCGCCTGCTAACTAATGCGCGCAATAGCATCTGGGAGAATGATATCGAACATTCTACGCCGTGCGAGTTGCTTCGAGGCGATACGAGATATCTTCAGCACCGACTAGGTGGCGCCACCGTGGATATAAAAGAGCGCACTAAGTAGCTTTCCATTGTAGAATTGTGAAACACTCATCTGCTAAAGGAATTAGGTACTCATTTAGCAGACGTATGTCGAAGAATCTGGTTCGTGAAGTGCATTTGAAGTAACGCCAGGTTTAGGAATACCAGTGGTCGTTCATTAACTTGAAAACACAAACCAGCAAACGTAGAATGTTTGTGAGCGTTTTACAGCCTTGGGAGGCCGAGGTGTTCTCTGGTGGGCCAATACGCGGTGGTAGCCGTTGCTGTAGGCACCAAGACGGCCATAATCATCGCAGCTTGGCGGATATGAAGTCTGTTATTTGGCGTCGATCGAAACTAAACCCGTGTAATAATGAGTCAAAACCCGTGCGCCGTTTCCAGTATGGCAGCGATTGTGAGACGTTGCACAAATGCAATTATACACCAGCGGAGCGAAGATTGGATACTATGATTGAAGGCTTTAGTAAACTTTTGTCATTGGACCAATTACGTATGGCTTCAGCGGTTCGCGATGATGTTTCAAAAGTCAACAGAGCGCCTGAGATAATTCAATGGACACTAGACGACAAATCCAGCGAGTATTATGGTCGACTGCAACTTCCGTTCGACCTGGAAAGTTCCGATGATTTTAACATCGAGCTCGATGAATCAACACGTATGGTGACTGTTTGTGCTGTTGACAACAACAGGTTAAAGACTCATGGCGGTAGCTGTCATTATACCTCACCACGATGGAAATACTCGCAACGTCTTGATGAGGCAATTCAACTGAATCAAATTAAGGCTAACCTGAACCCCCACGAGGGTGTACTTGAGTTGCGGGCGCCTCTCAAGCATGTCTCTTTAGCCTTACGGTCAAATCAAATGAGAGCTGACGTCCAGGCATCTGCTGAAACGAGAGATAACAGAAGTTTAGTTGAGATTGACACTCGTATGAGTTCAAGCCAACAGCAAGAAAATAAACTAACTCGACCGATTAATTGGAAGCCTATCGAGATTGAAGATATTGGGCCAGACGAGGAAAGCGACAAGATGTCGATCTCATTTACCGAGTGAAATTGCTGGAGCCCAGAAGTCAATTACCTATGAGTTCTGTTTACTGTGATAAAGCAGCGGTAACCAAAGCTTGTGAGTCCGTTATGTGAAGCTTAGAAACGGTGAATCGGACCACGTAAAGTTGTTGCCCAAGCGCTGTTTCTATTGTATATATTTTAAATATGCAATATTTTTACATTAAATTCGTAAAAAATAAAAGCTACAAATATACACCGAACAAGTAGTAAGGGCAATGTTTGAGCGTTTCAATATAATTGGGTCGTTTTTGTAATATAATTGGGTCGTGTCATACGTTAATGTAGCTGTTTCGTTTTCGCAAATTAATTAAAGTTAATGGTGAACAGCTTGTTAACGGTGAAAAGCGACAATGGCCCCTCCCCGGCGATACCTCGGCCGACCTAAGTTAATCTTCACCTTTTAAGAAGGTGAACTTCATAGAAAAAAGTAGAAGTAGCGAATAAATCGATCTCTAAAGTGAATAAATCGATCTCTAAACTCTATTGCGTCTGCCTATAATAGGTATAATTATTCATTGTATAATTATTCATTGTATAATTAATCATTAATTTATATAGCTTAATCATTAATAGGTATAGTTAATCGTTAATTTATACATACTAATTTGTCTATTAGTTCTGTTAATTAGCTAAATTGAAGTAGTGAATAAATCGATCTCTAAACTCTATTGCGTCTACCTATAATAGGTATAATTAATTATTAATTTATATATACTAATTTGTCTATTAGTT